ATTTGAATGTATAATAATAATAATAATATTCTACCTGTTCTACCTCAACTTTCCATCTTGTTTTAGTATTTTTTACTGTTCAATAAATGTTTCTTATTTTAAACTTGAGACCTGTAATATTTGTTATCATTGTGTCATTTTTTTATGTAAATTGAGGGAGCAAAAGCAGTATCAGCCCCAAATATCGGCTCAAGAAAATCGGCAGTCCATAATCGGTCATCGGCTACGGGTGATGGAAAAAAATCAGTATCGGCATTGGCCCTAAAAAATCCATATCGGTCTATCCCTAGTGTTGTTATAAAGACAAACAGCAGGGACGAGATCAGACACGTCACCAACAAATCATCTGACCAGCTCCTGCATTTAACACCTGCTCACACAGTGGAAGGATGGAACTGAGTACATTTACTCAAGTACTGTACTTAAGTACAAATTAGAGCTACTTTGCTTCGACTCAACTACATGTCAGTAAGGCTGCAACTAACAGTTATTTTCACTGTTGAATAATCTGTCAATTTTCTAGGTTAATCGATAAGTTGATCGGTCAGAAAATGTCAGAAAATTATTTTAGAAAACATCCATCAGTGTTTCCCAAAGCCCGAGATGACGTCCTCAAACATCTTGTTTGTCCTCAACCCAGAGATATTCAGTTTACTGTCACACAGGCGGAAAGAAACCAGAAAGTAATCATGTTTAAGACTCTGGATTTAGAATTTTGAGTTTTATTTTTCTTTAAAAAAAATCCTCAAACCGATAAATCAATTATCATATCAGTTGGTGAGTAATTTAATAGTTGACAGCTCATCAATAAATTGTTGCCGCTCTACATTTCTGAGGGAAATATTATACCTTTTTACTTCACCACATTTATCTGACAGCTTATGTTACTTTACAAATCAAGATTTTCACACTCAAAACACACAGTAAGCTTCTTATATATATATATATATTTTTGTCCTCTTTAGCTGGTTACACCTGAGCTGTCTTTGTTTTCTAGATGTGTCTGTGTGGGGGAATTGTGTTGGAATTCAATAAAAAAGTTTTGTTATAAATTAAGCGACTACACAGTTTATACAACTGAAACGTTTGGTAGATAAATCGATTATTTTTAAGTAATTAAAGACATTTATTAAGAAATGAAAGAATTTTTTTGTAAATTTTTTTTAAGGAAAGATGACAAACATGGCTCCAGCAAGGGCTGGCTCAATTTTCAGATTTTCACTACACGGTTAGCGTGGCAAAAAAAAAAAAAAAAAAATCACGATGACAGTATTATCACAAAATGCACTGGAAAAAAATTAATTAAAAAACGATCGGTGAAATTCATATTTTAACTTCATTTATGGCGCATTTTGTCTCTTTTTGGGGGCAAAGATAACTATAACTGTACAAAACTGTAGCCAACAAATAGGGCATATTATATACATATATATATATATATATATATATATACAGTACAGGCCAAAAGTTTGGACACACCTTCTCATTCAATGCGTTTTCTTTATTTTCATGACTATTTACATTGTAGATTCTCACTGAAGGCATCAAAACTATGAATGAACACATGTGGAGTTATGTACTTAACAAAAAAAGGTGAAATAACTGAAAACATGTTTTATATTCTAGTTTCTTCAAAATAGCCACCCTTTGCTCTGATTACTGCTTTGCACACTCTTGGCATTCTCTCCATGAGCTTCAAGAGGTAGTCACCTGAAATGGTTTCCACTTCACAGGTGTGCCTTATCAGGGTTAATTAGTGGAATTTCTTGCTTTATCAATGGGGTTGGGACCATCAGTTGTGTTGTGCAGAAGTCAGGTTAATACACAGCCGACAGCCCTATTGGACAACTGTTAAAATTCATATTATGGCAAGAACCAATCAGCTAACTAAAGAAAAACCAGTGGCCATCATTACTTTAAGAAATGAAGGTCAGTCAGTCCGGAAAATTGCAAAAACTTTAAATGTGTCCCCAAGTGGAGTCGCAAAAACCATCAAGCGCTACAACCAAACTGGCACACATGAGGACCGACCCAGGAAAGGAAGACCAAGAGTCACCTCTGCTTCTGAGGATAAGTTCATCCGAGTCACCAGACTCAGAAATGGCAAGTTAACAGCAGCTCAGATCAGAGACCAGATGAATGCCACACAGAGTTCTAGCAGCAGACCCATCTCTAGAACAACTGTTAAGAGGAGACTGCGCCAATCAGGCCTTCATGGTCAAATAGCTGCTAGGAAACCACTGCTAAGGAGAGGCAACAAGCAGAAGAGATTTGTTTGGGCCAAGAAACACAAGGAATGGACATTAGACCAGTGGAAATCTGTGCTTTGGTCTGATGAGTCCAAATTTGAGATCTTTGGTTCCAACCGCCGTGTCTTTGTGAGACGCAGAAAAGGTGAACGGATGGATTCCACATGCCTGGTTCCCACTGTGAAGCATGGAGGAGGAGGTGTGATGGTGTGGGGGTGTTTTGCTGGTGACACTGTTGGGGATTTATTCAAAATTGAAGGCACACTGAACCAGCATGGCTACCACAGCATCCTGCAGCGACATGCCATCCCATCCGGTTTGCGTTTAGTTGGACAATCATTTATTTTTCAACAGGACAATGACCCCAAACACACCTCCAGGCTGTGTAAGGGCTATTTGACCAAGAAGGAGAGTGATGGAGTGCTGCGGCAGATGACCTGGCCTCCACAGTCACCGGACCTGAACCCAATCAAGATGGTTTGGGGTGAGCTGGACCGCAGAGTGAAGGCAAAGGGGCCAACAAGTGCTAAACACCTCTGGGAACTCCTTCAAGACTGTTGGAAAACCATTTCAGGTGACTACCTCTTGAAGCTCATGGAGAGAATGCCAAGAGTGTGCAAAGCAGTAATCAGAGCAAAGGGTGGCTATTTTGAAGAAACTAGAATATAAAACATGTTTTCAGTTATTTCACCTTTTTTTGTTAAGTACATAACTCCACATGTGTTCATTCATAGTTTTGATGCCTTCAGTGAGAATCTACAATGTAAATAGTCATGAAAATAAAGAAAACGCATTGAATGAGAACGTGTGTCCAAACTTTTGGCCTGTACTGTATATATTATCATATGTGTCTTATTGAAATACTATCAGTATTTCACAGTAACAGACAATAACGATACAGCGTGACACCCCTGGTTGAAGCTTTGTGAGGATTTGCTGCTTTTCCTTTCAATTGTTTAAATCTATTTAAAATAATTCTGAGTTTGTTTCAGTTTTTTTGAGACTTTTCTGCACTGACTATTTTTTTCTTTTAATACTTTTGGTGCATTTTCCGAATCATACTTACACACTTTTACTTGCAGGGCTTTTACTTGTAAGAATATTTTGGCTACACTATAATGTGATTTTTAATGACTTTTTTGACCAATTATACAATGACTTTATATGAATTTCAACATTCTAAACTTTGATTTTTTTTAAATGATTTTTTTTTTTACATTCAATACCATTACTTTTTAAATTTTTCATACGGTAGTATTACTTTTTGTGAATTGTTTTGACATACAATAGTATTACATTTTATCATTTTTTTGGACAATGTATACTATGACTTTTTTGGATTCATTTTTTATGAAATATTATGACTTTGAAATGACTTTTTTGACCAACTCTACAATGACTTTTTATGAATTATGACATTCTATACATTGATTTTTTTTTTAAATGACTTTTTTGACATACAATACTATTACTTTTTTATGAATTGTTTTGACATACCTATGTTTTTTTTAAAAAATATACTGTAAGCATTTTTTATTTCATTTTTTTTTACATATTATACGATGCCTTTTTCTAATTATTTTTTATGATATCATATAATAATAAGACTTTATGATTATTTTTTCCAACTATAGAATGACTTTTTAAGATTTTTTTTTTGACATGTTACACTATAACTTTATTATGATGTTTTCCCCCCACCCCTCGTATTTGTTCAGCACTTTCACTTCAGTAAAGAATCTGAACACTTCCTCCATCACTGTGTTGACATCAGAGAGTCAAGATGTCAGATTAGACTGTGGGGGACGGAGGACACTCGGCTGATGACACTTCAGTCAAAGTGGAGACATGTGTCCAAACATCTGACATTTCATAACTAAGTGCTGTACAGTCTAAAGTCACGTGTTTTTCCTGTGAGTTACAGTCAACTGACAGTTAATGAACTTCACATGGGTCACATACTTGAGCAGGAACATGCTAACCTCAGTGAGCAGTGAAACATGCCAACATATGTCAGGACGCAGTTTAACATCAGTTTCACTCCAACGACAGACGTTCAGTCTCCTGCTGTGACTTAAGCTTGATAAGTTTACCTGTGCAGTGGCGCTGCTGGAAGCTGCTGCAGGTCCGGTCTCCATGCTTTGAAAAATATCGTGCACAGTCTTGATGGTGCTGCCAGCCATAATAGTTACAAGTCACACCGGAAGTGTTGTGTCTTCGTTTCTGGGTTGCGTTAATGAAGAATATTTACTTTGTTAACTTTGTAAAGGTGGTACTTGAAATTAAGGAAGATAAAAGGACGAATGATGTCCCACTCCACGTCAAACACAGCGTGCTAGCTTCCCTCTCACTAGCTCGAGACCTGCGCTGTGGCGGCGGACGTGCAGATCTGACGTACACGGAGCAAGAGGCTTCACCCATGCGTACTTCCGGTGTTGTGTCTCGGGGTTCATTTAATGAACTGTATTTAGGCAAACAACGTAATGTTTACGGTTTTTACAACTAACAACAGCCATTTTAGATATAAATTTAATTCCGTCGAAACAACCATTGGATTTTAGCACGTGGTTCCGAATTAAATTGTAATAATTCGTATTTATAATATATGTGGCTCCGCGCAGAACTAGAGGCTTCACCCCTACGTACTTCCGGTATTGTGTCCTGTATATAAGGGTCGAATTATTAGACAGCATTTAAACACAACGTCATGTTTACGGGTTTTGTAAGCGACCCATAGCTTTATTATAATTTTGGATATATTTTTAATTTTGTTAAAACACTTATTGGGTTTAAGCAAGTGGTTCTTCGCGGAGCGGGATGTGTCACTCCTGCTTACTTCCGGTATTGTGTTCAGGTTCTCAGGGTTCGTTTATAAGACTGGATTTAAACAAGCAACGTAATGTTTACGGATTTTATAAGCTAACGACAGCAGTTTTAGATGTGTTTTAAATTTTGTTGAAATACTAATGGGCTTTTAACATGTTTCCACGCGGAGCGAGAGGATTTACTCCGGTATCTTCCGGTGCTGTGTCAGGTTTTGTAGGGTTCCTTTATTTACACTGGATTTTTGCTTTGTTTTGATTTTTGTAAGATATCGGACGCTAGCAATTTTAAATATGTATTAAATTTAGTTAAAACACGAGTTGGGTTTAGGCAGGTGGTTCCGCGGGAGCGAGAGCCTTCACTACTACTTACTTCCGGTATTGTGTCAGTGACTGCGGGTTCATATTAAAAAACATGGCTCATTAATTAGACTGGATTTAAGCAAACAACGTAATGCTTGCGGTTTGTGTACGCTACCGACAGCGACTTTAAATGCCTATTTTTATTTTGTTCATCGGGTTCTAGCAGGTGGCACCAGTCTGTGCTACTTGCAACATGTTTTAATTAACATAGTTATCACCCTGAACAGCTTATTGAATAACATCTTAGAGACTAATGAGTATTTAATTTTTTTAGGAGGGTAAGACATTTTACAGTCCGCATGAGCGCACTGAAATGTGTTCAGTATGTTGACTCAAGGTTCCGCCACCACTGTAGATTCCACACGGAGCCATTTTGCGAACGGACCTCGAGTTTGCGCTGTACTCTCAAGGAAGTGCGGAAAAATTGGTGCGCCTTTTCAGCTGAGTTGGCTCATATCAAAAGCTGGCGATCTGTTGTTCTTATCATTAATAAACCTGGAGATAAATTGTCTCTGAAGCAGGAAGTAATAATCTGACAGAGGCGACGTACGGCGCAGGTTTGAAGATGCCTCGGAGAAAGGTAATACACTCAGCCGTTAGAGCGGACACACAACAACATAACGTCATAGCTAATGTTAGCCCGAAATCTAACTGTGTGGGGGAAACCCTCCGGCCACCTGTGAGCTGACATGAGATCCTACAAGACCCCGTTAATAAGTTGTAGCTTTTAACTGAATATGGATGTTTGTAGAGTCACTCATCTGAGCTCGTGTTTCGTGTTGATGCTAAAGGCTATGCTAGCTAATGTTTATGCTGAGTTGCAGGAACGTGTTGTTGTTGTTTATTAGTTGTCGCTTCTTCGGAACACAGTGAGAAAAGCTTTGAAAATTTGGGCTGTGTAAATTCGGTCACATGTCCAGCAGCTGGCGGCGCGCACAGAGACGCTGACCTCCGGTAATGTCGGTAACTAACGGCAGCTGTAACTGTTGAAAGGGAACAGGCTGTTCTTTGAGTGCGAGAATGGAGCGAGGCGTCCGCACCAAAACAACGCTGTGATTGGACAGAATCTGGGCAGCGGTTACGTTCATTGGTCCGACTCTCTCAACCCCCGCCTCCTCTTTAATCTAATTGGTCATATGTTAATGAGGTGCTTGGCTTCTTGTTGTGAAGTTGTCAGAAACACTAACGTTCAGTGAGCTGTGATGTCCGCGCTGTAGCCTAGAGAAGTTTCTACAGTTATTTTTCTTTTCGCCTGGTATTGTTTACCCCTGTCTTTAATACCTTTAAAATCTATTTTTTATTGATAAAAAAAGTAGTTTATTTTTTATTAATATTAACAGAGTGGTGCTATTAAACAATAGTACCATTAAAATGTATTGAATACATTTTTATTAATATTAAAAGGCAGTAGTAAACTTTATTGAAAGTATTATTAAAAAGTGTAGTTCGTATTTATTCATATTGAAAGACAATAGTACTATTAAACTGCAATACTACTGGAAATGTATTGAAAAGTATTATAAAAATGTAGTTCATTTTTTATTAATATTAAAAGACAGAATTACTCTTAAAAGTTAATGAAAAGTATTTTTAAATATATAGTTAATTTCTATTCAAATAAAAGACAGTTATACTTTTACTCTCAAAAAATATTTAAATAAATATTAAATTAGTAGTTTATTTTTAAAAACACTGAAGAGCAGAAGTACTCTTGAAATGTATTGAAAAGTATTTTAAAAAATGTTGATAATTTTTGTTTTTATGAAAAGACTGGTGCTCAGAAATATATTTGACAATATTATTAAAATGTTGTTGTTTTTTTTACATTAAAAGACAGTGGTAATATTAAACAATATTACTATTAAAATGTATTGAAAATACTAAAAAATGTAATTCATTTTTATTAATATTAAAAGAGTAGAACTCTTAAACTTTATTGAAAGTATTATTAAAAAGGGTAGTTTGTATATATTCATATTTACGACAATAGTACTTTTAAACTGAAATACTATTGGAAATGTATTAAAAGTATTATTAAATAAGTAGTTTATTTTTTTTTAAATTGAAGGACAGAAGTACACTTGAAATTTATTGAAAAGTATTATAAAAATGTTGTTCATTTTTCATAATATTAAAGGACAGAGGTAGTCTTATAATTTATTGAGAGGTATTATAAAAAATGTTGTTTATTTTTATTAATATTAAAAATCCAGTGGTACTATTATAATTGACTGAAAAGTACTAAAAAAATCATTCATTTTTACTAATATTAAAGGCAAGTAGCATAATGGTGATGGCATGTCTTCATGTCATTTTGCACATTAATAGGTCATAAAGCACTGTATGTTGTACATTGGTATATGAGTATTGTATTGTAATTATTTTTCTCTTTTTTTGTATTTACTGTACCTTTTTTATTTATATTTGTCGTATAGTGAAGGCTAATTTTGATTTATGGTGTAGTTCTCCTGATTTCTATTGCTTGGGTAAACCTGTGTAAATTATATGTGGCATATGTAGAAATTACAAATAAATATGATGGTGGCCTAAATATTAAGTGCAGTGACTACACTACAGAGAAATATAGGTCAGGTCATAGTTAATGTCACAAAGCATGCCTTAAAGGGCTGTACAGATCATTTCAGTTCCATTTAAATTTTATATTATTTTATATATAAAGTCCAATATTTCCCTCAGAGGGCTGTACAACATATGACTTCTTTCTTTATTTAATTCTTAATCAGCAGCCCTATAATGTCACATCTGAGCTGTTGTCTCAGAGGGTGGAGGGGCCTCACAGTGTTTTATTTGCTCAATGCAAATGACATGTTGGCTCCTGCTAGGGTCCCCCTGCCCAACCCCCACCCGGCCGGGTCTCTGCGGGGTGAGTCCCGGTGCGCCTCCGTTATCAGCATCGCCCCGTTCACTCCGTGTGCAGACAGATACAGACACAGGCAGGGACACTGAGAGAACAGACAATGATGGGACCTGTTATTATTTCATTTGTCTTAACTGAGCAGTTGGGGTCACCATGGTAACAGTCTTAAGACAGTTAATTGGCTTCATATTGGGACCTCACGCGGAGGCTGCACTCGGGTGTTGTCGTATGGTGCTCGGTACCAGATGCAGACGGTGTTATTCGGGGTGAACCGGAGGTGATGTGATGAGGCTTATTTAGAGTATTTATTAAGACGTCCATCGCGTTAGGAGGCAGGAGGCAGGAGGGGAGCAGAGCCGGAGGAGATGTGGAGGAGGTGATGCTCCTCCCCCAGCATGGGATCTTTGTTGAATTATCCACTGGTAAAAAAAAAACAAACAAAAATCTTTAATTATCAGTTTAATAATACTTCTCTGTTTCCTGCGATAATAATGTCGGTGACAGTCCAGGTTTAATGACGCAGATTTCCGGTAACTTTTCAGAGGACCGCCGGCAGCAGCTCGGACGGGACGGAGGACTCGGATTTTTCCGCCGACCTCGAGCACACCGAAGCTGCAGAGAGCGTGCACAGGCGCAGCAGCACGCGCCTGACCCGCGCGTCACTGCGACTCAGCCGCAGCTCACAAGGTAAATAAACATTATGAGTTTATGAAACATAATCCATTATAGGAGGAATTGATTCACACAGATTAATTATGTCACCTGGAGAAGAACAAATTAAAGTTTGGGATGAGAAACTGAAGATTAAGAAACAGCAGGAGGGACATTTACAGCACAGACAGAAACACACAGTGAATACAGTGTGTGTTTAACATAGGTGTCCTACATGCAACATTTCACTTCTCTCATAACAGCTCTTATAGTTTGGTCTGTCATACATTTATAGTATTGAAGGACTGTTAATATTAATTTGATTTAAACCAACTTACGACACTGACAGAAGTACTGACTAATAATAATAACTATTACCTTTATTTACATAAAATAAACATATAAAATGACATTTAAAACAGTTTAAAACATGAATTAACTGATTCATAAAATCATAGCTGGGAAACTATAAGTAATAAAATCAAGTAAGATCTTAACACAGTTGCAGCAGCGTGAAGCGTAAATAGAACGAGTTTCAGACCTGTGTGAGGAAAGTCAGCGAGTTAAAGTTAAAGTGAACAGATACGTTTTCAACTTCTTTAAAAACATTTAGCAGCAGCTTCTCTCACATTGAGAGTGTGTTGTACCTGACATAAATTCACATGTGGGTGAAGATTCGTCACACAGCTGTAGAAGACACACAGCTACAAAGTGTTCACCCTCCATCGACATATGCATCCATCCATACACATATTACACACATACATGTACATACACATATATACGCATGAATCCACAAATAATTAAACCTCAAAATAATAAACAAGCTCTCTAGACAGGGTCATCTAAAGCCCCTTTTAAACAGGAGTTGTGAAAATTTGCAGGAAAGCCCAATCAGTCTTTTTTCAGCATTGGCAGTATAAAAACAAAATCGGGGAGTGCAGCAAAATGCCGCCTACCTACTTTTGTTTATACAGAATGTGCCTTTTTCAGGGCAATGGGGGGCGTGAGCAAGTAAAAAAACGTGTAGCTCAGCGTGTGACGTAAACAGTGACGTGGGAGGGAAGCCGCGGCTGGTCAGTCCTTCGGAGATTCTGTCAGGTTTGCGTTTCCCTCTTGCTTCTAGCTGCTGGCTAATTCCTGCTATCAGCTGTTTCCTGTTTATCCACCTCCAGTGGCTCGCATGTGCAGCGTCATCAACAGCTCCTCCCACAAGTCATCAACAGCCCCTCCCGCTGCAGAAGGCAGCCTCGGTCTGTTTAAACTAAAAGGGTTCCTCCAATATGTCTACCCTACGAGGCGGAAAATTGGGCACCTCGGATCAACTCGCCAATCCGGCTCTGTGTGTCTAAACGCTCGCAGCTTGCCGGGAAAACGGCCCAACAATCGCCGAAAATCTGGCAGTGTAAAAGGGGCTATGAACTGATGTCCATCTCCTTTTGAAAACGGGGAGTTTTAGTTGTGGCTGAGCTGTCTTGTGCTCCATCATGTAAACCTGTTTGACTTTTTACAGCCATTGAATAGTAATGGGAGGGTTGAGCTTCATCCAACAATTAGTAGATATTGTTTTTCCTGCAGTCATCACTAACATATGCAGGATACAACACTTGCTTGTGGTAAACCAGTGATCAGGCAGTACATCCAGTAAAAATAACAACAGGTCCAAGGGAATGTCCAGATCCTGGATTCTCTCCATTTCTCCTTTAAGGTTTTTCCAGAATGTCTGTATTTTTAGGCAGTCCCAAAATATGTGAGTATGGTCAGCGACCAGACACCGACAGATTTGTCCACGCACCAATAAATTCTGTTTTCCCCTGAGACTTTTTCCCTTCTGGATTTGGAGTCCACAGAAGGAGACATACTTCAGAGTCAGAGTCAGGGGACTGTCCTTGGAGCAGTGCCTGAGCAGTTGGGGGTTCAGTGCCTTACTCAAGCGCACCTTGACAGAGCCCAGCAGGCAAGCTGGCACCTGTACAGCACCATACTAGAACTAGCGACCCTCTGGTTCCCAACCCAAGTCCCTATGGATTGAGCTACTGCAGCCCCCATCACTCAGCCAGAAGACTCAAGATGGCTGTAGCCATTGGTAGCGATGATTTCAGTAGGGGTGGGAATCACCAGAGGCCCCATGATACGATATTATCACGTTACATAAGTCACAATACGACATTATTGTGATTTTAAACATGTTAATAAAATATTTTGTGATTTATTGCAATTTATTACCATTTTTTTTTCAGTGACAAATTATGTCCCAGACCACAGACATATGACACACATCTTAGTTGATGAAAAAAAATCGGTGAGCAAGAATAAATGAAAATTAAAATGATAAATAAAATAAAAAATAACTTTTTCATTTCCATATAATATTTATAATAATTTTCTGTCACAGCCACAGGGAGTCGCTGGAGAGAAGCTAAAGAGCTACATGTTGTTTGGAGCTGCAGGTTGCCCACCTCTTCTTTAAGGGATCACTTATCTTAAGAATAACCTTAGTGTAATTACATCAGTGTATTTCAGAACTTTAGGGGGATCCTCCCCAGTGTCTGTGACCTCGAAGTAGACTTTAGAAAGTACCATCTTCCTTTTAGTAATAATTAAACCTATTTGTTATAGTACAGATTGTTTTCTTCTCTTCAGCCACAGTTAACTTCGTTGGTAATGTTCATCTTTTCATACATATTTAATCAAACATAGTTATCCAGCCACACATTTCTACATTCGGAAAAAATTGATTTATGTGTGTCATTGATTTGAATGAGGATGTTTTCATGCAGGGATCACAGAGAGACGTGTGCCCCCCCCCCACTGCAGTGTCTATTATATATGGGCAGCCGTAAAGCATGAATGGGTTCAGACAGGCCGAGCTCCCCCACCACAGACACACAAACAAACTCCACTCCCACCCCCTGTGTGACCTCTTTCTGCTGTAGCTGCCAGAGGGTGGGGGGTTACAGCAGAGAAAGAAAAGGTGACACTGTTTCCTCTGCTTTTTGTTACTGAGAGAAGTTGGCTGCTCCGTCCTCGTCCCCTCGGAGGCTCCGAAACACAACAGAGGCTAAATTTCTCCAAACAGAAGCAGGTTCAGAGGTTCAGTCTTCTTTTCTGTGGCCGGATTAGTTTCTCCACAACCACCGAGGATATTCACAACAAGTAACTCTGTTTTCTTCTTAATATTTTAGTTTGGAGTCGATCCGTTTCAAACGGCTCAGGTTTAACAAATCCATCTAGACTTTGGGAAACTTTTAACGCAGTTCAGTAGATAGTTAAGTTTTTGATTTAGCCATGTTTCCATGTAGACATCAACGTAAAAATAACTATTTCTATTGTCATTTAATCTGATTAATCTTTGCTGATGTCATCTATTCATCTAAAAGCTAAAGATACCAGTGTTGGGCTGGTTGGCCATTGGCTGTAGTCTTTGCATTGTGTTCATGAGGAACTTTTTGGCAGAGATGCAACAGTCAGCTTTCATTGCAGCTAGTTCTTTGAGTTCGGTTTGGTGTGTCTGGGCCTTAAATCCCCGTTTCCACAGAGCAGTACAGTATGGTTCAGTTCAGTTCGGTACGCTTTTTTTCCATTTCCACTATGAAACCATGTGGATGGCACCAATGGAACCGTTCCGTACCGTTACCAATTTTGGTCCCCCTTCTGTTGGGGTACCGAGATCATCTGTTCATCTAAAAGCTAAAGATACCAGTGTTGGGCTGGTTGACCGCTGGCTGTTGTCTTTGCAGTGTGTTTGTAAACAACTTTTTGGCTGAGACGCAACAGTCAGCTTTCATCGCCGCTAGTTCTTTGAGGTCAGTTCGGTGTGTCTGGGCCTTCAAAGCCCTGTTTCCACGGTATGGTTCAGTTCAGTTCGGTACGCCTTTTTTCTGTTTCCACTACGAAAAGTTGTGGATGTCGCCAATGGAACTGTTCCATACTGTTGCCATTGTTTAGTCCCCCTTCTGTTGAGGTACCTAGATTTCATCTATTCATCTGAAACCTAAAGATACCAGTGTTGGGCTGGTTGGCCATCAGCTGTAGTCTTTGTGGTGTGTTCATGAGCAAGTTTTTGACCAAGACGCAGGTTTGATGCGCCTGGGCCTTTAAACAATCCACTGAACCTAACAGACCAGTTTTTAGTGGACGTCACAGTTACGTTACAGTAGTTGCGTTACAGTAGTCGGCTGTTTTTGCAGAGAAAAACAGCCGACATCAGAGAGAAACAGTCGACATACCTGGAATAAAAATGTCTTCTTGTGTCCTTGGATGTCAGAACAGGAATACAGATTGAGATAACCTTCATTTTTTATAGAAAACCGTTGCAGAGGATGCCATAGTAGAAAATAAAGTTTTGTTTCCAGTTAATTATAATCTCAATATTCAGGATACAATCACTGCTGGACGCTCAGCAGAGGAGTGTGTGTTTGGTTTACATGAATAGAATTACTGACATGGTGAAAGATAATTCATCATCAGGAACTGTATAAACTCACATCTGTCAAACATGGATTCGTCTTATTGTCCCGGGTTAAAACTCGTGGAGACGTCCACATATAATCTAATGTAATGTGGAAGTAACAGACAACTTTTCAGCTAGCTAGCTAACGCTGTCTGTTTAATAACTCCTTGATCATAACAGAATAGTGACTTTCACCTTTGCTCATTTTAGAAAGGACACCACAAGAAAACAGGTTCTTTGTTTAGATGAATAAACGGACACTGGGTCTTTGTTTGTTTCTAGCTGTCAGCGATCAGCCACAGGTAGCACGCTAGCTACATTAGCTACATCGCTAATGTGAGGGTGCCTTTAACTTTCCCTGCCTGGATGCAGGTGGGATTCAAATGCACATAATAGGCTTCCTTGCAGTGTCCTTTGTAAAGTGAGCAGTGGTGAACCTGAAGTGTTAATAAGCAGACAGCGTTAGCTAGCTAGCGCGCTAGCACTTTGATAAGTTGTCCTTCCACATTAACTTCCACAACTATTACTCAAGGACAATAAGAAATCCATTTTTGACAAACGTGAGTTTTTCTAATTCTTGTTTTTATTCATCTTTCACTACATGAATAATTAAGTAATTTCAATAAGCCGAACACACACTCCTCTACTGATCAGCAGTGATTAGCCTAAATATCGAGGTTCTAATTAACTGGAGACAAAACCTTTTTTCCCACTACACTTGGATCATAAACTCGTGGATATAAAAACGAGTCAAGAATATAAACACTATAGTGCTTTTTACGTTTTATTTGGCGCTCACATCAACACCGCTACTCTCCCTTTCTGCCACTAGTTCAGCTCTGCCCACAAAATACATCATCACTGTTTACAAACACAAAAAGGGTCTATACTATCTTTCCTTCTTTATACTTAAACTTACCTGTCAGCAAAATGTAGATTAACCTTACTGAATCTGATAACCATATTCATATGTACCTCTGCACAGGATCACTAATCTATATGTTTATCTGCATTTTTTGTATAAGAAAAAGGTGATTAGTCCAAATCAGTCTTAAATTTGGTCAAAAATAGTCTTTAAAAAGTTGTTTAAAGCATTAAATTGAGGTGTTTGATACAGTGTTTTAAAAACCAAACTGGAAATTTTAAAGTAATCTCCTCTCTTCTAGATAACTGCAGCTCAGCACGGAGCAGCTCTCCTGCAGCCACAGGTCCTGACGAAGGCCAGGATTCAGCAGCAGAGTCAGCAGCAGCAGCAGCAACAGCAGTGGCAGCGTCCGTCTTCTCCTCCGGGCGCAGGATCACACGCAGCCAACAGGGGGCAACAAACACCACAGCCAAAAAATACCCACTGCGTCAGAGCAGGTCATCCGGCTCAGACACTGAGGCAAACGGTGAGGACAGAAGTGTTTCCTGTTTGTCTGAGACGTTAGAGCCTTGCGTTACATTAAAGGGTGATTTTGCTGTTTTTCTTGCACCTCCTCTGGCAGCAGGAGGAAGAAATCATAAATTAATTTGTTATAAGAGAGCAGAAACAGGCACAGTAGGAGGAAGAGGAGATGAGAAGATGGAAAAAAGTGATGAGAGCAGTAAAGTCAGGGGACAGAGGGAAGGAGGGAGAGTAAAAGTAAAGACTGATGAGATGGCAGAGATGAAATGGAAGCTGAATGTGAGGAAGAGGAGGAGGAGCATCTCCGAGTGCTTCATTCATTCATCGTGGTGCCATTCAGCCGATGACATGAGGCCTCTCTGTGATCACAGTGTGTCCCTGATTATAAAGAAGACAAATATGTCTCGGTACACATCCTGGACACTGGGACGAGCACGAAGATACAGCATCTGTTGTCTAATTTCAGTCTCTGCAGGAGCAGGTGATCTGTTTCCAGTAAAGCAGATATATCTGCGTTTTGATTGTTCAGTTGTTCAGTTTAATCTCTTAGTGTCTCAACACTGAGCCGTATCATCAAACAATCTGAAGTGATGTCACGATACACAGTTAAACACAATTTATGAATTTGCATCATGTCTTTGCCACGTGAACCAGGTTTTTGTTTGTTTATTTACACAATGCAAAATAGAAGAAAAAGTCAGAGCAAAACTCTAACAACTTAAAACAGAAGGTTTAACCAAAGACTTACTGTAGAACAACTATTGTTGTTCACAAATTTGAATATTAGATTCCAGTTTACAAAAATTAAGTAATTAAAAACCTCATGGGCCCTAAAATTGACCCCTGTGGAACACCAGATTTAATCTAACAAGAGCTAGTTCCTGGATAGGAGACAAATTGAGCCCTGACTATACTTGTTGCCAGCGGCAGAGTTTCCATTTTAAAAACACAGAAGAGAACACAGATGGACCGGCGCTTTAAGAAAGCTGGAGAAATTCTAGGGAATTCTTATTATCATTAGCAATCAATCAAATATTGGCACTTTTAACACAACACAAGTTCTCACTAACTGGAACAGTGAAGATGTGATAATGCAGTAGTCAAATAGTCCTTATAGGAAAATGAATCAGTATTGTGATCACAGTATTTAACAGCAGATACCTCTTTGTGTCTTTGTTTGCTGCTCTACCTGCAGGGTTTCTCAGGAAATATGTTTTAGGGTGTCACACAAAGTTAAATTGTTAAGCACTGGGAGAAATTAGAGTCAACAAAAACCTGCCTGACATCTTAAATAGTCCGATGTCAGTGGAGAAATAGGAAAGGAAATGAACTGCGATGTGTCCCATTCTTCTGCCAGCCGCTCTGAGCTCAAACACTGCTCCTCTGCCGCAGTAACATCAGTCTTTACTATTGGATTTCTCACCTGGCAGCTGCTATTGGAAGGTGTTAACTGCATCTGCATGTGGTCACATTTGCAGCCTATAGAGAGTTCTCTTGAGATAGATTTTTTGGCAATAGAGACGGAGAAGTGTTAAAACATTTGCATGACTGTTTAGGACAGATACAGATTTTTAATCAGTGACATTTTTTCTGTGAGTGCTGCTGCTGTCGTCCAAACCACAGTAGTTATATTTATTCAACCACTTGCTGCGCTGCGTGAAAGCCATAATATTCAGTCTGTGTTATTTGTGCTGGGACGACTTTCTCTGTGGGAGAAATAGTTCAGCTTCCTCATAACTGAGCCAAGCATTTAAAATTAGATCGTCAGGGTACATGTTAACCTCCTCTGCTCCAGCCCTCCCTACCACAGACTGTAATAAACATTGTGTTTTGGTAAGGCACCTATTTAGAAAGTTTAGAGTGTATAGGGGGTTAGAAGAGCACGGTGGAAGAATATGCCGGCCATTCCTGTTATGATTTATGTCTCCTAAGTTATTGTAGCTATTTTTGGGTTAATATTACTCGTAATGCATATTTAGTGCTAGATTTAAGCAGTTTTGAACACTTGAGAATTAATAAAAGTGGTTAAAAATCCCTCCAAAACCGAGACCAAGAAAGCAAGACATTGAGGAACCCCACAGAAAAATCCATGCTGTGATTTGGAAACAAAAACTTTTGACATTTGGAGATTTCTGTAAGAACTGCGTTTTTCAGTGATTGTAGGGTGAGCACTTCTGCTCTGGAAACAACTGAGAAACCCCCTTACTGTCGAGATGCCTTTGAAAACCAAACATCCTCTGAATATTCAAGGTCTTCAGTTTGTGATTGTAAAGTTTCATGAGGCTGTGATTATCCTAGAGGTCACTATAGGTCATTTTATACAGTGAGGTCAAGTTTCAAAAATGGTCTCACTACACTGAAATGGCTGCTATGGGCACTAACATCATCACACATGAATAAAATTGGGCTCATTGAATCCACCAGAGTCTCAGCTTTCCAGTTAAACACATTTTGTGCAATTCAAAGACAGTTAAGGGACCCCAGTGTGCAGAAATGTTCCAATACAATGGGCGAAATTAACATATTTGTACTGCTTGAGAAAAATCACGTGGTTTTTGCCTAAAACTGCACGGGGCTAGCATGTAGCGTAGACATGTCTGTAAAGGGAAGACTCGTGTGTCCCCACAGAACCCATTGTCATTCAGATGTCATGAGGTGAGAGGTCAAGGGACCCCAATGAAAATGTCCATGATAGTTTTGTTCATCGAAATTCAGCCTAACTTTGGAGCGTTATATCGTCCTGAGACCCTGTGTCACATTTTAGGTTTACTTGACCTTATACTTCATTCTACTTAACTCAGACCTGTTGTCCTCATCCGTGGACACTTTTTTGTGCCATCTAGTGGTAGTAAGAGCACAATACACTAATGCATGTAAAAACAAGATGGCAGCCATCTCTGCCAAGTCAGTCTGCAGCTGACCCTGATTCCTGTGGACAAAGTGGACAAAGTCCAAAACCTGATCGCATGTTATGGTTGAAACTTTTGTTTTTATGTTTAATAATGTTTGTAGTTTGATACGGCAACACATTTGACAAATTTTAGCAACAGTGAATTAGGAAGTAATCGTTTGAAGACATTGGGACTTTATTATCATTGACAATGTTGAGTTTTTTATACTTATCAGGTCCTACTGATCCCAAATAGCTAGGAAAAATTAAAAATGCATACGAAACAAAAGTCCAGGTCTCAGGAGGATATAACCCCCTTCCAAAAAGCTTGCATGACATGGTTTATACCACTGGATTCAGCCAGCTACAGCCACAGCCATTGCAGTCCCCCTTATTCTCTTTGTCCTGATTGGCTCAGCAGACCTGAAGCAGGGTGCAGACCGGGACGAGACGCCTCCCCGGACCCCGACAGGTAACGCCCCGTCTTCAGAGTCAGACATCGAGGTGTCCAGCCCTGGCAACGACCTTGTGTCTTCCAGCAACGATATTGTAGTTTCACAAGAGGAGGACGAGCGATTGGCCAAAGAGCTGTCACTCAAAGAGGCCGCCGCCCACGACCTCTCCCACCGGCCCAAACGACGGCGCTTCCACGAGAGCTACAACTTCAACATGAAGTGTCCCACACCGGGGTGCAACTCTTTGGGTGAGGGCTGCGACATTTTTCATTGGATCAGATGTCCTGTACACCGACCCTTAACTCTCTGTCTCTTCTCGTCTTCTCTCAGGTCATCTAACGGGGAGGCATGAGAGACATTTCTCCATATCAGGATGTCCTCTGTACCACAATCTGTCTGCTGATGAATGCAAGGTACACACACATACACACACAGATACATCAGCAGGGATTCCAGAGCAAGAAGTGAGTGTGAAACCATGAATGCAACAGAGGAACAAACATTTCCCACAGGATATATCATGTGTGTTCTGTCACCTTACAGTTTATTCTGTTGTGTTTTTCTGATAAGATCTGCCACATTGGAGTAAAAACATGTTGCATTTTTGCTTCAGTTGCTACTCTGTCGCTTTTATGACATTCCTCATTAGTAAAAACCAAGTTTCCACTGTGGGAACATCTCAGCCATCGCACTGCGACCAAGTGTCCAGTGGATGAAACTGAAGGAAACCAACAGACTCAAATTGAAGTTGTCAAGCTGCAAAGCCTCCAGGAACACGGAGGTGGCTGCCGCAGTGTTTTTCCTGCTGTGGGGGGGATGGTGGTTGTGAGTCGCTGGTGGCAGACGGTGTTGATGTTTTTTTAGGGCAAGGCATCGACGCGCGACAAACAGGCCGAGGAGAGGACGCTGTCACACCGCCAGGATGAGAACAGACACTCCACAAGAAACCAGGTAACACGCGAGCGCACGTAAAGTTCATCAGACAAGCCTAACACATGCTGACACACACTCACACCTAAAACAGACACACATGTACACATACATACTTATATACTGTCTGTGTAAGGGTACAGAACATATTCGACTAAACTGAGCAAGTGAGTCCAGGTGAAAGCTGTGACGCTTCCTCAGTTTCACCTGTCTGATCACGTCACCATGAACTGAAGGTGTGTTTGTGCATCGCTCTCAAAGCAGCTCAGGTTAGAGATCACACTGTGAGTCTCAGTGTAGCAGGACCAGAGGCAAAGTGATGACGGGCTGCTGTAGGTTGAGTCACGGCGAGTGTGAAAGGACTCGTCCTGCTCTGATGTCATTAATAAGGTTATTGATCAACAGAGAAATGATCAGAGTTGACCCTGAAAGACTGATTTCCATCCGTTGGCCGGATGTTAAAAAGAACCCTGAAACAGAACATCACATATCTTAGAAAATTCATACACACAGGATAAAAGTAACGTGACGGTATAACACATGGTAGTTTTCTGGAAGTTCTGCTTATGTCAGAAGAAAAGAAAACACACAGGACATGAATAAGAGAAGATCGAACAGTACTGTGTCTAAAACATTAACGTTTTTACATCTAATATTCCAGCTCAGGATGTTCGAAACACTTTATTTGTCCCTGGGACAATTCACAGAGGCACCTAGAGTAGGAAACATGATTTTAAAAAATGTGTAAAAATGCAAGGAAAGCTCTACACAGTGTGATATAAGTATGATATGCAAAAATAAGATCATACATAATATAGATATTATGGAGATAACTGAGATCCCTACAAATCTAAAGCTATTCAAATCAAACCTAACTCTCAGGCTTTTACACAAGATCTAGAGCAGGAGTTCCCGACTGGTCCAGACACAGGATCCAGATTTCTCTGTCGTCATTACTTCAAGGTCCACACAGTTTAATATATTCAGCATCATACTTGAGTTTGGCCATGTTGTTGAGCTAGTTTGCTGTTTCTGTTAAGTAGCTGTCTGTTAGTCACTCACTCTACAGCAGGAAACAGCACTTCAAAATGAAAGCTCTGTGCTAGAAATCCACTGTACGCAAAATTAAGTGTGTTTTTTACAAACTTGACAAGTTTTAGAGTCACTCATGGTTCCTTCAGAATCGACCCGCAACCCACTTTTGGACTGTGACCCACCTCTCAGAAACCACTGATCAAGAGGACAGGTTAAAGTGATACTGATGCCATTATATGTGGTTCAGGTGTCATGCATGCCCGTTTTAAGAAGGACACGCTCACAGATTTTGTCACATTGAACCTACGGGAGTGGTTAAGCAATGCTGTAATGTGGCTTATTTCATTAGTATGTTAGCAAGCAGGTTTCTGTCCATGGAACCATCAGTGTGGATCCATGTATCATCAGCATATGGCTGGATCTCTTCAGACAGAAGCAAATAATTTATATACAGAATATTTAAAAGTGGCCCCAGTATAGATCCCTGTGGGACACCAGTACAGTTGTTAAAAGTGGTGGATGCTATCTTAGAATTTTGGAGCCAGAAGTGACCATATTTGGAGAAGAGGATGGAGATAACCCTAACACTAGCTGTTAGCTGGATTAGCATGGTACATTTACAGCTGTGTTTAACTGTGATGACGCTAATTTTTGCTTGTAAACAACCATTAAAACAAAATGCACTAACCAAAAAACTGAATATCCGACTCCTCAGATGGTCTTTTAGTACAACCAAACGAGGAACAGGACTATTTTAGGCGACCAAACATTACAGTTAACTTTCATGAATTGGAAACACTGAAATAGTGATGGCTATGGCTACGCCTATACTGTGTGAATCTGGGGTTATGCCATGGTTACGTTGGTGCCATGGTTGTAATGATCATTGTAATGTTTTCGTTACATCAAGCATCGATTAAATATCAATAATGGGATTATTTGGAATTGAAAAACTCAGCAAGAGATTATTTCTTTCTATATTGTCCTCCCAGAAGGAGTTAAAATGAAAGTGCACACTCTTCTGTGTCTAAGAGTTTCTGTCTCTGTGTGGTCTCAGGCTCCTACGGAGCGCCAGCTGCGATACAAGGAGAAGGTGACGGAGCTGAGGAGGAAGAGGAACTCTGGTCTCAATAAAGAGCAGAAGGACAAGTACATGGTGAGTGGATGAGGAGTGAATGTGTGTGCAGTACTCCTCCTTACACCTCTCCCCTCCGCATCCTTCCCATTTTAATCCCTGTTCTTCTCTCTGTCTTTACCTCCAGGAGCACCGTCAGAGCCACGGAGCGAGCAGGGAGCCGCTGCTGGAGAACATCACCAGCGACTACGACCTCGAGCTGTTCAGGAAAGCGCAGGCACGTGCCTCGGAGGACCTTGTAAGAGAGAAAACTCATCGTCACCTCCCTCCCTTACTCTTTCCTCCTTCCCTTTGTTTTTTGTCTGCCCCGCCCTTTTTCTGCATTATTCCTCTTCTTCTCTGTTTCAGTCAGAAAACCCTCCTCTGCAGCCACAAGAGGAGTCTGAGATATTTTTGGTAGTTTGGAGAATCACTTCCTGTTACTCTCTGTTTGTTTCTTCCTCTGCTCTGTTCCTTTGTGACCCACTCAGATGAGAAGGCATCAATATTTTCATAACCAGGCTCACTTTAAACAGTCACATTGATGGTTTCGTACATTTTAGTCAGTTAACTACAAATGGCGCGTACAGTTTTCCAGAACAATCTAAATAAAGCAGTTTCATTTTAAAAATCAGTGTTTTTCCAATGCAGTTAGGCACATCCTCAAGAGGCTGCCGGTCCAGTACCTGCTAATGTGTACTCACTTGTTTTCCCTGGTAACAGAAGATCCAGACGTTCAAGAGGTTTTAACCGGAAGCTGAATTATCTGCAGAGGTCTCTTCATCAAACACACCCGGTGATTTAAAACAATAAAAATACTGAATAAAGCAGTTTCATGTTAAAAATCTGTGTTTTTTTTAATGCTGTTTGGCACAGCAGGGGCTGGAGCCAAGCTTTCGCTAACATTTGCTCAGCTTGTTTCTCTGATAACTTCAGATCCAGACGTCTGATGACTAAAATCCTTCATCTGGTTAAAATACATAGTTAAAAACAACATATCTAAATAGTGTATATTGTAAAAATTTAGCATAAAACTGCATAAAAAGGCAATTTATGACATCATCTGGCAGACAACCACAACCCCAACTCATGTGGAGAGGGTATATGACGCTACTGAAATGCAACGGCGACCAAATGACACATCAGGTGTCCTTGATTAAAATGACAGATTTCTCTGGATCTGTTGGAGATTATCTGTTGGAATACTGTGACTACACAACTCAACAAAAAATATTATATTCATTTGGTTGTTTTCAGACATTTTAATGCAGAAAAGTTAGATATTATATCGTTAAATGATCTTAGATTCACTTGTCCCTGATGCAAGGCCTTAAATTATTTATTAATTATTATTAAAGTATTAAATTCAGGTTCAGAGATTTTTAAAACACCGTGTTATTAAAAGTGCAATATTGTCACTCACATCCTCTGTTTGCTCCTGAAAAGGTCCCAAAGGTCCCTGCAGACACCACGTAAACTTGTACATTTCTTTCGAACCTTCAGATAAAGCCTTTTCCTGTTTGTTTCCCATTCTGATCTTTCTTCTTACATGTTTTTATTGGTTCACTTTTAATAGCTGGTTGCCTCCACTGAGGTTTTCCTTTGTATGATCTTTGCCTCACCTGATCCTCTGCCCTGAATAATTGGGATCTTTCCTCTTTCTCCTTTCTCCCCTCCGCCTGCTCGCCTGCCCTCTCTTCTCGTTCCTCTTTGTACCTTTTCTCTTCCTCTCCCCGTCTCCCTCTCCGCTCCTTCCTGTCGTGGCCTGTGCAGGAGAAGCTCCGTCTGGCCGGCCAGGTGTCGGAGGGCAGCAACATGATAAAGACCATCGTGTTCGGCCGCTACGAGCTGGACACATGGTACCACTCTCCGTACCCGGAGGAATACGCCCGGCTGGGGAGGCTCTACATGTGCGAGTTCTGCCTCAAGTATATGAAGAGCCAGACCATCCTGCGCAGGCACATGGTGAGGCGGTGTCATCTACAGAAGTTCATTCTAATGTACCTTCTGTTATCAGTCCCACAATGCAATGTGTCACATTTTAAAAATGCAAAAACGTTGTTGTGTGATACAAGAGCACGCCTGTAAGTGATGATCCAAAATTAAAATAACCAACAAATATTCACGAAAGAACACTTAAAGGGTAACTTTGGTATTTTTCAACCTGCTATTGAACTTTGCCCCTCTGATGCAGTGGATCCAGTGTTGTTGGGGCGATGGCAGCGGGTTGAAGAGGGGGAGAGACCACTGCCCGAAGACAGAACTGCACAACACAACCATGCTGTGGCTTTGGTCTCTGTTTCAGAACCAGTACGTCCCTGATATAAACTAACCTGAGCTTTGTCTTTTCTCTCTGTTGCATGAAGGCCAAGTGTGTGTGGAAGCATCCTCCAGGTGATGAGATCTACAGGAAGGGGAACATCTCTGTCTTTGAGGTGGACGGGAAGAAGAACAAGGTAAGAGAGCGCACGCAGCTCCTCCTGACCCTCCCCCCTAGAGGGTCCAAGTTTCATTTAGCCTCAGGCAAGAACATATGAACATGTTAGTGTGAGTGAAATGGTCCTGCAGTGAATTCATCACAGTGGGACTAACACACCCAGATCATGTGACTCCTGCATGTATACAGTCAATCAGACCCAAACTGGCCGAGGCGCTCTGAGCATGCTCCACAGTTTCCGCCCCGGGCTTTGACCAGGAAGTCCAATAGCATTAAATGTGTAAGAGAAGAAGAAGCCGGTAACAACATGGAGAAATCTACATCCAGAGCCGTGACTTTTTGGACGGACCAAATGTACAGAGCTGTAAAGTTGTCCACCATGGTAGCAGTTAGCAGCTAGCTAACCGTAGCTAACTTGTTTGTCCATTGTTTGGTCTGTGACGTAATAGGTCAACAGGAAAAAGGTCCAATACTAACAAGCTGAAAGGGGGCATATCTCAACCTATCGTAGAGGAGTCGCACATACTTGGCTCAATAAATGGATTCCCCTCCCGTGCTTGTGTACTGGGACAAGGACAGTAGGCCAGTTAGATGTCCTCGTCCAGCTGGGACTGTAGAAACACTTCACTGTGACTGGAAACACACTGACTATGAGTAGTTGTATTCTGGATTTAGATACCGTAAGAAAACAGTAATACAGCCCTCAAATTCCTTTTCCCATTGCTAGTCTAGCGGCTAGCTGAATTTTTCTCTGCTCATATGAAGCCAGGATCAGTCACATACAGAAATTAACAGGGGGTCAGTGTCGCCATTGCTTTGTTAGCACTTATTCCTCTGGAAAGCTCAATGGCCGCTGGGGAAACACCAACCCTTATGTCATCAATCACTCCGACCAAGGGCCTAACATCACTCACTCACTCACTCACTCACAGACAGCCTTGCATGCTGCGGTCCAGTCAAAAAATAGCACTTCTGGTTGGTTTTCTGCAGTGACTCCTGCACCTCACGAGATGGAGACCTGTCTGTGTTTCCTGTTAGCTTTGATAAACTGTGATGCTCTTCCTCATAGATTTACTGTCAGAACTTGTGTCTGCTGGCGAAGCTCTTCCTGGACCACAAGACTCTGTACTACGATGTAGAACCTTTCCTCTTCTACGTCATGACCGAAGCCGACAACACAGGGTGCCATCTAGTCGGGTACTTCTCCAAGGTAACCTGGGGACAGTTACAGAGTCCTCTTGTTTCCCAGATAAGAGTTGTTAGCATGAGTGAATATGCAAAGCCCAAAGATCAGACAAGTTAAGGATCAGTTTAAAATAACTTAAATTCTAAAATATTATTACTGATATCAGCCCTGAACAAAACATGCCAAACAAACATTCTCCGCTTGCAGGAGAAGAACTCGTTCCTGAACTACAACGTGTCCTGCATCCTCACCATGCCACAGTACATGAGGCAGGGCTACGGCAAGATGCTCATAGACTTCAGTGAGTGCAATTCAGTTTGTGTGTGTGTGTGTGTGTGTGTGTGTGTTTTTGTCTCATAAACTTAACACTTGCCGAGGGATTATGCACAGCACAATAGCAGCAGATTTAAGAGGCTGTCTGAAGCTCTTGCCCTTCGGAGGAAAAAACCTTCCACACTTGTTTTTTGTGTATTACAGTCATTAATTTCTTACTTTCCTGTATCCCTGTTTTCATTTTCTCAGCAGGAGAAGAAACTGTTCAAGGAGGAGTGTAGCTAACACACAGCTCTGTCTGATCTGTCCTTTAAGGTTACCTGTTGTCTAAGGTGGAGGAGAAGGTGGGCTCACCTGAGCGCCCCCTGTCTGACCTGGGCCTTATCAGCTACCGCAGTTACTGGAAGGAGGTGCTGCTGCGCTACCTGAACAACTTTCAGGGCAAAGAGATCTCCATCAAAGGTCAGAGCTCGACCACACTCTCAAACATGCTGGTGTGAGGAAGAGTAGGCAGGGGTGGAGCCAGACCTTACAGTCATCGTCATTCATCAGAGGAAAACTATAAAATAAACAGTGTAACATAAGGGAGAAATCTGAAAGTGTCAAACAGGCCAACAAGAAACTCTGTGTGTGTGTGTGTGTGTGTGTGTGTGTGTGTGTGTGTGTTTTGATATGTGCATGCATGCATTCATGTGTGTCGGACTTTGTGAATGGACCAGAGAGCACTGAGGTCACTTCAGCTCAGTGTTCAGGTGAGAAATGCCGGTGGACGCACACGACTTAAACTGGAGCAAAACTGGGTCACCCAAACACATCCAGAGGACTGAGGGAACTTCCTGCTCAGTGTCAGGGCTCGACAGCAATATTCAGACATTTGTTTTTTGGGTTTTTTTGTTTTTTGTTTTTTTTTTTTGGGGTAGATTTTTTTGGTGTGGCATCTGCAGTGATGTGGGCGTTGCACCCGACTGTCGTGGTGAAGAGGGAGCTGAGTAAGAAGGCAAAGCTTTTGATTACATCCAGACGGTCCCGGTGTTTCCTCCGCAGGCTCCACTTCACTCAGCTGCCCGATAAACCCGCTGCTTCTTCCCACTTTAACCTGAATAACAAACCAGGGCTCGGTGCTCCGGTTGGATCCAAACGGAGAGCCGGGGCTAGCTCAGAGACTAGCGGAGGCTAACTGGCTGTGCTTCCCTCCGGTCATGCTGCGGCTAACGCTCCGCTAGCCGCTCCCAGCTAGCTCCGGTTTGTTATTCAGGTTAAAGTGTGAAGAAGCAGCGGGTCTGTGGGGCAGCTGAGTGAAGTGGAGCCTGAGGAGGAAGCACCGGTTAGCCCCGGTTTCACTACAGGCAGATTCACTCGCTACAGGGGCGAGGAAATAAAACCTGAACAGCCAATCAGAGTGATCTCTCTCACAGACAAGCTCCGCCGCCGATTCAACATGCTCAAACGGCCGAAAAGCCGCCGACGTCAAAATGCCGACAGTGCGGGACACACCACAAAAACTAGGCTGACAGGCGCTCACCGACGGCCCAACATCGGTTGACGGCGGACCGTCGGCTTGGTGTGTCAGGGCCTTTAGAAATAGGAGGAGGAGCTCGGACATCTGAAGGGAGCTCGGAGTAGAGCCGCTGCTCCTTTGCGTCGAAAGGGGTCAGTTGAGGTGGTTCAACATCTGATCAGGATCCTTCTGGGCACCTCCTGTTGGAGGTGTTCTGGGCACGTCCCACTGGTAGGAGGCCCCGGGGCAGACCCAGAACACACTGGAGGGATTATATATCTCATCTGGCCTGGGAACGCCTCGGGGTCCTCCAGGAGGAGCTGGAAAACATCTGTGAGGAGAGGGAAGTCTGGGTATTCTGCTTGGCCTGCTGCCCCCGCAACTCAGCCCTGGATAAGCGGATGAAAATGGATGGATTTTCAGTTTTTGTATTTCAGTTTCACAGGGCTTTGTCAGGTATTGTCTCGGATTCTAAGCCTTTTATTACCAGGAAGTTACCTGGCCATCAGTTGGACTTCCTGGGTGTCCTTGCAATGTCAACATATGACATTAGCATGGACGGGCCTATTCAGCAATTCTGTGCATTCAGCAGCTTTATATGTCCTAAAAAATGAAAATAATAAGTCAGCGTTGACTCACACGGGACACAAACCCTGATCTCCTGGGTGAAAGTCCTGCGTTTGACCCATTCGTCCACCCACATGGACTTTGTCACCCTTTCTGCTACGTCCCCTGACTCTCTGGCAGTTAACCTCGGGGAATGTCTGAGATTTTTGCAGATTTTCTGACAATCTCAGAGAATATCCAAGTTTTTTCTAGTAAATTTAAAACTTTAATCTTGGAAACTCAGAGTTTCAGAGTCCCCTGTGGCTGAGGCACAATGTTGCACTTAGTTTTAAATTAGTTACTGTTCCCAAAACTGTTTCACTGCAATTTAAAACTCCTTTTGTCACTTTAAATACAGAGTCAGTGAACACATCAGATAAAAGATTGTCTGCGGGGTCGGACAGCAGCCACGACAAAACAGCAGATAGTTCAGTAACACTCTGTTCCCTTCGCTCCGAGCCTCTTTTGTCCTCCTCTCTCTTTGTTCATAATTTCTGCATGTCATTTTGAATTTAGGAAGATCTTTTCAGCTCACACAGAGAAATATAAATACCTCTCCTCAGTCGTTCCAGTCTACATTGAAAATGTGTTCTCACTGTCCTGCCACGATGCGACCGCTCTGCCTCTGCAGTGTGCTCGTAGAGATTAACAGACATTGTCGTCATTCAGGGGCCTTTTGATGAAACTCCACTGTGTTTGCACGTTTCATAAAGAGCTCTGAATGTGGTCTCACTTTAGCTAATGTTTTATAATGCTGAGTGGATTTTCAGTCTCGAGCCTGAACAATGATAAAGATGTTTGTTTAGCAAAACAGAATTCTCTCTGTGATTTCTTTTTAAATTATTTGATGTCATTGTGAAGAAAATGGAACTTCACAGAGAAATTATCCATGCTGGAAGTCACTGAGTGTCTTCACTATTCTGAAATCTAAAATAGAAGAAGTTCATGTTTACTGACCTTGGAGGAAAGCTGTCGAAGTCATCTTTGATTAAAAAAATAACTCAGCATTAAGCATATAAATAATTCATGAGGTCAGACATCACTGCTGTGTCATTGTGACTGTAAATCCATCAACATCTTAGAGCCCAGTGTTTGTTTTTAATCATCACCCCATGCTAGTTTTTAATGACGGTGATGGCTGGACTCTGAGAGGCGATATGCGTCAGCCCACCACTTTGGTCCAAAGTAAAATATCTCGCAAACTATCAAAAGGCCATTAAATTTCAATTTTTCACATTAACGTCCTACTCAGGATGAACTGATGTGAGTTTGGTGATGTCTTAACTTTACAGCTACTCTTGGCAAGAAAGCAAAAAAAGCATATTTCCAAAAACATCAAGCTATTTTTTTAACATTGTCACTAGCCCCTTTTACACTGCCAGATTTTCAGTGAATGTTGGGCCGTTTTGCCGGCAAGCTGCGAGCGTTTAGACACACAGAGCCGGATTGGCGAGTTGATCCGAGGTGCCCAATTTTCGGCCTCGTAGGGTAGACATATTGGTGGAACCCTTTTAGTTTAAACAGGCTGAGGCGGCCTTCTGCAACAGGAGGGGCTGTTGAAGACTTGTGGGAGGAGCTGTTGATGACGCCGTACGTGTGACCCACTGGCGGTGGATAAACAGGAAACAGCTGATAGCAGGAATTAGCGAGCAGCTAGTAGCAAGAGGGAAACACAAACCTGACAGAATCACTGAAGGACTGACCAGCCGCGGCTTCCCTCCCACGTCACTGTTTACGTCACACGCTGAGCTACACGTTTTGTTACTTGCTCACGCCCCCCACTGCCCCGAAAAAGGCACATTCTGTATAAACAAAAGTAGGTAGGCGGCATTTTGCTGCACTCCCTGATTTTGTTTTTATACTGCCAATGCTGAAAAAAGACTGATTGGGCTTTCCTGCAAATTTGCACAATTCCTATGTAAAAAGGGCTACTGTGAGCCTGTTAGCATGCTGGTGTTAGCATTTAACTCAGGAGCCTCATTTGCACTGCATGGTTCAACTCGGCTTGACTCACTTTTTGGTACCAGGTCCTTTTCTTGATTTTGTTTTCCACTGCAGGTAGTACCTTCCTCAGAGTGGGAGGGATTCTCAACTGACCTGCGTAGCGATGCCACATGAAATTGCCTTGAAGTCATCTTAAGTGCTCACGGGATCTTTTAATAGGCAACCAAACAGAGGAATGTCTGAACTTCATCAATCGTGTGGAGTAGTGTACAAAAAAAAATTGTGTTTGCTAGTCGTGAAAAAAAAAAAAAAAAATGTGAAACTCTATCAGGAGCTGCACCTTGTCAAAATAAATCCAAACCTATATGACTGGACCATGTGTGACTTTACTTTGAAAGGACAGACACAGGAAGTGTCCTCGTCAGGTTAATCTCCAGGGCTGGTACCTGCGGTTATTCCACAGGCTAGTTAATAACATGTCGGGCAGGAAATCCAAAGTGTGGAATCATTTTGAGAAGGTGAAGGACGAACCCAAGGTGATATGTAAACTCATCTTCATTGGTCGACTACAAACATGACGTATCATCTGAAACATGGAAGTAGCTACATGCCCATTAGCCCACAGCGTCATTAACAGGCGGCTCGCTCAGTGTGTGACGTGCACTTGGAGATAAAATATAGGCCCATATTAATGAAGGTTCATTAGTACGGTTTGTATTTCTCTGTAATGTAGCACAGTGTTAACAATGTTACTGATACTATTCTTTCTCACACCTTCAACTCAAACCACCAAAATATATCATTTCATCATTACATTCATATCAGAAACATGCAGGAGACTAGTCCACTGATGGACCCTGATGAGGTCCACTGGGAAAACTCTCAGTCAGGTGGAGCCCTAGTCGCTAATGACAGTAGCTTGGAAATTTAAAACTGGTTGGTTTGTGCAGGATGTCTTGTGTCAGTGGTCTGCTGTGTTTTAACTCCACCCTCTAGTATCGGCTCCACTCGCTTGGAGCCTCAGTCAAGGTGTATCTAAAAGAAAACAGGCACTATCAACTACTGCTGCTAAAGGAAGACCAAAATAGAGCAAGTTAAGTTTAGTAGAGTCGTGCCATATCGTTCAGTGGAAAGGTAACATTAGTCTCTTTCCTGATCCCATCGCTCTGACCTCCTCTTGTCTCACCTTTGTGTTCACAGAGATCAGTCAGGAGACGGCAGTGAACCCAGTGGATATTGTCAGCACACTGCAATCTCTCCAGATGCTCAAATACTGGAAGGGAAAGCACCTGGTTTTAAAGAGACAGGTAGGAAACAAAACAAGTCCGACTTCTTTACATGCTTTTCTGTCTGGTAGAAAACTTCGTCCAGCTGGCAGCGGATTGTTCGTCGCTTTTTAAGTTTAAAACTTGTCGCAGATTCAGACATACGTACAAACTCCACATTAGTGCAGCCAGCTGAGGTGTGTTTTCTCTCTGCAGGACCTCATCGACGACTGGAAGGCCAAGGAGATCAAACGTGGTAACGGCAAGACCATTGACCCCAAAGCCTTAAAATGGACACCGCCTAAAGGGACGTAGAGGAGCTTCCTTTCACACTCCAAACCCAACACACACACAGACAGGTCCTCCGTGTACACTGGCATGCTCACAGACCCTGAGCCTAAACCCTCACACACACACACACACACACACACACACACACACACACACACACACCTGTACGAAACGCTTTCAGCAGCTACAGCACAGTCAGCCACTTACAGAGTCAGCCATTACTCTGGGTTCATCAGCTGCCAAACACTGGCAAAATGTGCAGGAATCTGGAGCTAATACATGAATGAATAATCAGAAATATTTTACCACCTGGCTGTGTGAGGTCAGTTTGTGAGATCTGGCTCTGTGAAATGTGACCAAGCTGCAGTCAGAGTTTCCATCTGAAATATTAAAAGAAACAAGTAAATCTCTAATTGGTAATTAGTGGTAGTGTTAAGAAGCAGTGTTGCAGCTTCAGATGTCTTTCAAAGTTAACTGCGGTGTTTTTCACCAACTGGATGTTTTTGTGCCTTAGTGACGAACGAGAACTAGAAGAGAATCAATTCATCATTTATATTTAGATTTTATATTTTTGGTTTCAGGCTCTAACTAAGACACTAAATGTCCGACAGACAGTATGACTACAATGTTAAATAACGAGCTTACGCAGCGGCCAGTGATGTCTGTCTACGCAGGATCCCTGCTGATACTTCCTCGACCTCATTTATTATCTGGAAAGTGAAAGTAATTGTGCATTATAAGTGCACCTTCTCGCAGACACCTGATTAACACAGAACACCAGACACGCCCGCTAATCCAATCTGCGGCAGGCGGATCTGAACCTGCGCTGACCGAATGCAGGTCGGCAGCTCGTTGACTCATGCAATGAATTTTGTCAGACACAGACCAGCTGGCTGTGATTAAACAGGACGAAAATACATGACGTTTCTAGGAATACGAGTCCCGACCTCTATTTATCATTCAGGTCATATGACTACACACAGTTCTCAAACAGGCCGGGGAAGGCTTGATGATTTCTGTTAGAGCCGCACAAACATCACAACAGGAAGGAAATAGTATCTTGTTTTAACTTCTGTCCCTTCACACTAGGGCTGCACAGTATGAAAAAAATATAACGTTGAATACCACGATAACGATGTTACTTGCGATAAATAAATAGATTGGAAAGTGTACTCAGTTTCTGCTGATTTCAGTACAGTACGAAAATAAAACAAATTGCTTGTTGAATTAAAGGAACACTTCACCCCTGAAATGATAATTTGCATATCAGTTACTCACCCTGTGTTGAGTTGGATTCATGAAAAAAACATTGTTTTTCTTGCACACCTCCACCGTGAATGGCGAATCCAAAAACAGAGAAAATACTCAGTGTATTGAAGTCATTGGGGTCCACGTTTAACAACAGCAGAACTATATCCAAACATCTGTTTACAACTCTCACACAATTGGTGCAGTGTAATTATGCTCAGTACTTCACTAACGCATGCATTTTCGCAGAAACATTACGATCTGTTACTGAGCTGAAAGTGAAACTTATCAATGCCAGACTCCATTGAGAAAAACAGTAATTTTACCTCAGTGAACACAGAAGCTGCTGGTTTATTGCTGCCTCGATCAGTGAGTCTCTTTTTGTTATTGTGTGACTTTCATGTGTTAGAGGGTTTGTTCAGATTCACCAAAGTCACACAATAAAGCAGACAAACTGACTGATTAAGGCAGCGCATGGCCAGCAGCTCCCCGTGTTCAGCGAGGTAAAATTAGTGTTTTTGTTAATGGAGTCTGGCTTTGAAGAGAGCATCAATAAGTTTCACTTTCCGTGCAGTTTCCCCTTCAGAAAGGGCCGTCCGTTTGGGAAGTATTGAGCATATGGATGTATAAATGAGACTTGGCTTAGGTGTTTTGATATTGTTTTGCTGTTGTTAAATGTGGACCCCAGTTAATTCAATTAAAAAAAAACAGGTTTTTGATTCTCTGCTCACCGTAGAGGCACGAGAGAAACGTTGTTGTGAATTCAGTGTAACACGAGGTGAGTAATTGATATACAAATGATCATTTGGGGGGTGCTCCTTTAAAAAAATTAAAAGATGTTAAATCTAACATGCTTTTATCGAAGAAATTGAACATTGAACTGAACTCAAAAGACACCGCTAAAAAAGAAGAATGAGATTTTCTACTGATACTCTATCAACTAAAAAGAAATCAGAGTGCAGCATCGCAGCCTTTCAGTGTGTTTATGCCATGACAATAAATGTATATCCTGCAGACCTACTTCACACACTGTGGTACTTAATTGTGTTCAGAGTGGGCATCAGATGCAGAGTGATGTTGCTGTACGTCATGCATCCCATCAACTTAAGATTTTACAACTCTGTCTTTAAAAAAAAAAGTGTAGACATATGAAATGAAGAGTTACAGTCAGATGGTCTGAGGTCAGATGTGTTTGTGTCACAAACGTTAAACAGAGCAGAGCGTACAAACTGACGCTGACGGCGGCTGATTGAACCCAGAGCTCATCAATAACTCAGCGTCTCTCTCATGCAACAAACACACACCTCATGTCTGTTATATAACCCGTCACACCCATTAGTCAGGAAGCTATAGCTGCCATTGGCCGAGTTCGTACCGTGTTGTGTCCCCAGGATGTGACCCGTACGTGGTGTCTTCCCTTCTTTCTTTTTTTAAACCTTATATCTTAGTGCCGGCTGTGTTGTTTCATGATGTGTTCTCAGTGTTGGAGCTCACAAACATGTCCTCTCTGTGTTCTCTGTGGTGGTTTTGTTAATGTTCTCAATGATATTTTATACTTTCTCTACCTCTGAGGTTTACCACTGTATAAAAGCTACAACGGCCCATTTTAAGCTTCGTTATTTTCCTTTTTTATTCTCTGTGTTAACATGTGAAACTAAAGCAAGTGTTTGTTTTTTTAACTAGATTTTTAAAAAATATATATACTATTTATATTCTTAAAATGATATGTTAACTGCGTAGAACGTGAAAGACAAGGTCTGGTAGAGGAATGTCGACTCTAGGACGGGCTTCCTTGTGAATATGAATATTTATCCTGAAATTGTACGTAGGTTCAAATGTGTGTAGAAGCTCTTGGAAGGTACCAACAAAGACAATGTGTACGTTTACATGCACACTGATATTCCACTTTTATTCCAAATTTGACAATAGTCCAAATTTAATACGGCTCATGTTAAAAACATTCTGTTTAGATATTCCGAGTGAGGCCTTCAGGCTGATTTATGCTTTGGCGCGTGACATTTTTGACGAGTGTCGCTCAACAGAAATTAAACAGTCACAAGACGTTTTCCATTTATGCTTCGGCAAAAGGTTTCAGTCGTCTCCATGGTAACCAGAGACCCCCTGCTTTTGTTCACGGTCATTGTCCAGTAAAGAGTATTCTGCACAGACGGCTGATTAAATCACACAGATGTCCCACTGTACGTGTGTTTTAGTCTCATTAACTTTACATTCATTGATTGATCAGCTCCCAGTCTGTCTGTGAGCCAATATATACAAACACCACTGATTTTCCTGTGTCGCTAACGTGAAATATTTAGATTCAGTAAATGTCTGCTGTGTGTCAGCCTGGTGAAGGCAGTTCTGACTGCTTCTATGGACAGAGACGCTGAATGCTGGTCAGATTCGGTGTGTGGCGACAACAGTGACACTACTACTATGAGGGGGGATAAAATCACTAATTAATATATATATACACTCACTGTTGATTCCCTTCAGTGGTGCTGACATTAAAAATATTTGGGTTCAGTAAATAACTGTTGTCAGTCAGCCTGGTGAGGGCTGTTTGTTGACCGCAAGTGTCTTGCATATGTGTCAGGTTTGCAAACAGCACACTTTATTTTAAAGTACAGTGAATTTCCGGCATAGAGCTTTTATTTTGAAGTGCTGTTTCCTGCTGTAGACTGAATGACTAACGGATAGCTACTTAAAAGAGACAGCACACGAGCCAAACGCAAGGGAGACACTGAATATATTTGACTGTGTGGACCGTTAGCTAATGACCAAGAGGGATCTGGACCCCATGCCTGGACCAGTTGGGAACAACTGGTGTAAAGCACACAAATGTCCCGCTATATATGTGTTGTTATCTTATTAACTTTATATATTTCCCCCTCACTTGCTATGAAGAGAGGGGAAAATAAAATGAATATATTAATATATACAAACGCCATTAATTTCTTCCCGTGGCACAGACATGAACAATATTTAGGTGCAGTAAATGTCTGCTGTCAGTCAGCCTGGTGAAGGCAGATTGGGCAGCAGAGGGCTGCTTCTGTGGACAGAGACATTGAATGCACATTGCGCAACAAAATATAACGATGTCCGCGTCACAAGAAAATACTCCATGTGCACAACATGAGAGAAAAGTGTCAAGCCGTCAGTCGAGTGACACTCTTCAAAAGTGTCACACACCTGAGCATTAATTAGGCTTTATTCTGGATGCAGCATTTCTGATTACGATAGGTGTCGATATTATTCAGGTTTTAGGAGCATTCTTTGGGCATATAGTGCATTTGTAAATTTTGCAGTTTGCAACACAAAGCCTCTCGTCTGTTTACTATATATTTACTGTAGGGCCGAGATACATGCCCAAAAAAAAGCCCACATCTCGGGTCAGAAGGAGAAACACACCCACTTTTAAACATTATGAAAGACTTGGTTAGCAACAGGTTTTTGGATCTGTGCACGTATTGTAACACAGACCATTTCAAGAAGGAGGTTGAAGGAATAGACGAGGAAAACTGTAAAGAATTCCAGGCACAAACAGCCATTCTACTTTTCCATATTTCGACGTGACAAATGACACATTAGGACAAGTTAATCAGATTATGCACAGCTGCATGTAAACAGGAATATCAGTGTAATATTCATTTTCATTATCCATGCAGACAGCTTCTCAGGACTGTGGTCTTTTTTGGGATAAGGGTAAAAAACTGAATATTTTGTGCATGTAAACGTCAGTGACAGAAGTCATTTACATTTCAGACGTTTATCTCCTGTCATCAAAAGTGACATCATTGAATCAAAACACATCACTTCTGCACGTTGTCACTACCTGTTACTGACATAACTGCTGCTGCAACATGTTTGGAAAATAATCTGTGTGTGTGAGACCGGTGAGCTCGGTCCCATCAGCAGCATCTCTGTATCATTAGCTGTTCTTTACAGCCCTCTGTGTGCGATTGAACACATTTTATTTCATTGACAATCTAAATATTTATTGATCTGCATCAACTTTTTAATTTTGGAACCAGCTTTTAAGGTTTGTTAAAGGAGCAGTTTGACATTTTGGGAAATATTAACTCTCATTAGAAGAGTTGGATGAGAAGGTTGATATCAGTCTGCTCATCTCTTGCAACAAAGCACATCAAGTTCATAGACTGCACAAAAATAATGTAAGGTAGCCACCAGGATGTCACCTATGTTGAAGCCTCGAGTTTGGTGTTAAAGTTTGGCAACTTTTACTATAGAAACCAAAACTGTTTTTTGTACCAGGCTGTAAACATGTTTATTTCAGCCTCAAGTGGCCATCAGAAGAACTGCAGTTTTCAGCCCGGAGGTTGCTGCTTGATATTTCCCAACAATGTGGAGCTGCTCCTTTAAACTTTGTGCATAAGCTCAGACAGCAGTTGGCTGTGAAATCGGAGGTGTGTGGCCAACGATGTCAGATTGAATCATCTTTCTGTTTTTTTGTTTTGTAGCTTTTGTGACACAGTTTCATGTGAGGAGACCACAGCCGACAGTTACACGAGCTTCTCTTCTTTCACAGTGTAACAAATGTTGCCTTTCTGTTTTGCTTTGTGTTTTTATGGTGTTTCCTCTCAACCATCTGTGGATTCATGTGTTTGTTTCATGTGTTAACCCTGTGGTTGATTTTTTTTGTCCTCATTCGGGTCTTACATGCAGACTTTAAATCAATACAAATAGGCCATGCGTTTCAACCGACTACATTTATCCTTTTAGCACCTGTTCTCAATACACATCTCTGAGTGAGTGTAGGGAGCCGAGTGTTTCGCCAATTCTTAAGTGCATTTACAGCAAAGTGCACTTTGAAAGGAAGAATCCATCCTAAAACACACCTCTTAACGATGATGATGATGATGATGATGATGATGATGATGATGATGATGATGTTCGATACGTGACAGGGACAGTTTTTTATTCCTTCAGTTATATGATGGAGTGTTTAAGATAATCCAAGGTTTTTGTTTGGGTTCCTCAAAACTTTAGTGCCGCCGTTTTGTACTGATATTTAACAAACACTCCATCATGAGCAGATAACATATTTTATATTCTCACAGTCGCAGAAATCTGAATTAATTTGTTTTTTTACTTGAAAAGGCTTTGCATTCAAATAACTCCCTGAGTGTTGATGCTGAATGTGCATGCCTCCTCAGTGAACGGAGAATCCAAAAAGGACGAGCACTCTTCATTAACTGAAGTAAACAGGGGCCACGTTTAACAGCAAAACTATGTCAAAACTCTCACACAACTCGTGCAGTATGATCCAAGTCTCATTTATCCAGTTGTATGCTCAGGACTTCCCAAAACAAACAGCGTTTCTTGACAGGGAACTGAAACTGAAACTTATCTCTCTTCAGAGACAAACTCTCACTGAACACGGAGCTGCTCGTCTGTCACTGTTTCTGTCAGTCGGTACATTTCCAGTCACAGTGAAGTGAAACTACAGTTCCAGCTGGACGAGGACATCTAACTGGCCTACTGTCCTTGTCCCAGTATACAAGCACGGGAGGGGAATCCATTTATTGAGCCAAGTATGTGCGACTCCTCTACGATAGGTGGAGATATGCCCCCTTTCAGCTTGTTAGTATTGGACCTTTTTCCTGTTGACCTATTACGTCACAGACCAAACAATGGACAAACAAGTTAGCTACGGTTAGCTAGCAGCTAACTGCTACCATGGTGGACAACTTTACAGCTCTGTACATTTGGTCCGTCCAAAAAGTCACGGCTCTGGATGTAGATTTCTCCATGTTGTTACCGGCTTCTTCTTCTCTTACACATTTAATGCTATTGGACTTCAAGGTCAAAGCCCGGGGCGGAAACTGTGGAGCATGCTCAGAGCGCCTCGGCCAGTTTGGGTCTGATTGACTGTATACATGCAGGAGTCACATGATCTGGGTGTGTTAGTCCCACTGTGACACATTCACTGCAGGAACATTTCACTCACACTGACAAATAAACTGACACAATAAATCATTTTCTCTGATGTCATGTAAACGCACTGAATGAAGTCTGGTATCTGTAAGTTTCATTTTCAGCACGGCACTGAGGACACGACTGGATAAACAACACAGATTTGTTACTGAGATGAAACTGAAACTGATCAATGCCAGACTCCACTGAGAAAAACAGTAATTTTACCTCACTGAATACTGAAGCTGCTGGTTCATTGCTGCTTACATCAGTGAGTGTGTTTTTGTTATTGTGTGGCGTGTTAGAGCGTTAATTCAGATTTACCGAATCTCACACAGATAAACTAACAGATTGAGGCAGCACTACACACGCAGATCCCGTGTTCAGCAATGTAAAATTAGTGTTTTTGTCGCTGGAGTCTGGCTCTAACGAGAGCATCGATAAGTTTCACTCTCTGATCAGTTCCCTGTTGAAAAGGACTGACTGAGGTTACGACTGGATTAATGAGACTTGGCTTATACTGCACATGTTGTGTGAGAGTTTGTGAACACACGTGGACTCCCATGACTTCATCATGACTTTCATCAGTTTTTGGATTCTTCGTTCACTGTGGAGGTGAGAAAAACAAAGTTTCCATCATAAATCAACGTAACACAGGGTGAGTTACTAATACACCAAAAATTATTTTTGGTGTGAAGTATTTCTTTAAATGTTAAATTACAACACCACAAATGATCATATTAAAGAAAGTTTTCCCTTTAAGACAAGCCTTTTTTTTTTATTTAGAAACCTCTCCTTCTAGATGTCTGTTTTTATTTTTCATCCTGTTGTCGTGCAGTTTTTCTGTGTGCCAGTGGCAGCTATAGACGGGCAGCTTATTAACACATCTGAAAAGGGTCCCAGTTACTTATCCCATCACCTTCCATAGGCCACCAGTGAGCTGTTGTAGTACTGCAGCACTTGAACGCACCCTGCTACCTGTTTTAAACTACGCACTCAAAGCAGCGACACACAAACCGTAGCGTGGCATCGATATGTAGCTCAGTCGTGCTTTTGTACTTGCTTCTCCCCCTTCCTTCCTCCTCAATAAATGCAAACGGTGAAACAAAGGCTGAGTGTGGTCAGTTTGTGTGTTTGCTGGTTCCCACGGCAACAGGGTTGTTTGGGTCCGGTCAGTTGGTAGTATACAAGGAATGTACGGACATAACAGCAAACAAAGGAGGTGCCTCTACGTCAGATCTGTTCACAATGAGAAGACAAACCACTCAGAATGAGTGTCAGTGGTGACGTGTTAGTGGATGGATGACATGACGTGTATCTACAGTTGAGACTTTTAGCAGCTGTCCTTGTGATTTTGTTTCATACATTTTAAAAATGTTACCACTGTCTATTTAGGTGGTAACTTTTCTTTAACCTGTCAGATTTGTATCAATAATACCTTGCAAAGTCTCTGAGCTGCTGTGAAACTGCACCTACTCAGGGCAACAAAAGAGTTTATCTTGGCTGCATCGGTACAACGAGCAACCAAGACATGAGGGCAGAGGAGATACCTGCACACAATACACCTGAGCTGGACAGCCACATAAAAGGTTCAAAGTCAATTTACTGAGAACATCGGTGCAGCAAGCAGTTCAGTCCTCAACTGTCATCAGTGCTGCTGACGTGTGTTTCACAGAACAGATAAAGACACAGACAGATTCCTACCAGGTGTGATCAATCAATCAGCAGGTGCCACTAATCAGATGAGATCAACTCTGAGGAGCAGGAGCCTGACCACCAAATCACAATCACCTGTCTAAAGAGTATTATACACATCACAACATCCTCAAACATCAATGTATACAAATGCACAAAAAATACTATACACAGAAAAAAAGTCAATAAAATAAACATATTTTATTTAAATAAAGAAATAATAATATAATGAAATAATAATAAATAAATACATGAAAAAAATATATACGAAAAAAAGAGTTGAAAAAACACAACTATACACAAAAAAAATCAATAAAATAAAATAAACTATATATATTAAAAATAAATAATAATAAAATAATAATGAATAAATATATGAAGGAAATAATAAAAATATATGAGAAAAAAAAGACAAAATAAAAAAAAGAGTTGATCTCATCTAATTAAAGGCAGCAGCTGACTGATAACACCTGGTAGGAATCTGTCACCTGCGTTTTTGTGCACGGATGTTCTCAGTAAATTGACTTTTTTTGTATTGATCTCAGTCTGTGAACATTTTTTTGTGGCTGTCCAGCCCAGTTGTACTGGTGTGCAGGGATCTCTTCTGCCGTCCTTCATCAATAATACCTCAAATTACAGCAGAGAAAATCAAATATGACAATATTTTGACCAAATACCTCGTTATAGATATTGCAATAATATTGTAGAGTTCACTATTAGTGCTTTCACAAAATTCTTACAGTGAAATTTTTGAAAAATAAGTATCGTAAGTAAGAAAATGACTTAAATGCAGCTTTTCAAACCAGGAAAAGACACAAAATGATATCTGAGAGCTGAGTCAGTATTTGTGGTCCTTATCTGACAGCAGGAGTCACT